GTGAAACAATGATGAAAAATAGTTCATGCAAGTACTTTCACTTGTAACTGAATAATGCATTTTAACTATTTATGGAAAATGTGTGTTATGTTGAATAAAAGACCAATTCGTAATTTTTTTTTTTCCAATGGCAGGTAGTAGCCGTTTATAGACATTGATCACTACTAAGGCCGGTCATGTTATTAAGGAGGGAACTAATACGTGGGCCACCGTTGCCACCTATGAAGAGGACGAACAAATTACATTCATGCCCTATCCGGGATTCGAACCCAGGCTCTTCGGTACGGCAACCAGAGTCACGAACCGCTTTACTGTCTGGGCGGTAATTCATAATAAATGGATTTAGTAAAATGTCTAATACACACAGCAATTAAGCATACTGATTGCTGATCAGAATCCTTTTTTACCAGCTAAAGCAATAGGTTGGATAAAATTATGAGACTTAGTTTAGTCCTTGATGATCTCCTTTCTGAAAAGAAAAGGATATAAATGTAATTTTTATGATTTATTTCTTGTGTAATGTAAACAAGACAAGCGTCCCGTAACAAATCCTTTGCGAAAACATCCCTTTGCACTGGCATAAACTCTTTGCTTGCTTTCCCTTAATCTTGTAATTTAAGTTCACATGTATATCGAAGATCATAAACATACATATTTGCTTACTAACGTTATGTGCATTTCGGTCTATATAAAATATTTCCTTTAAATAAACTCCTATTTATGCTGGTACCACAAACTACAATATATGTAAGATGATTCAGAAGACATGACAGAAAATATTAATATTTTTTCTTATAGGTGCTTATCCCGTTGTATTATTTAAAAACTCATTATCCAAAATGCAGAAACATTTCGAATATAATATTATTGACTGTAATTTTCAAATATTATCACGATTTCCTTAGCCTATGTCACTGAAATTATAAGGGGCAGTTGTTTTTTCTGATTAAATAGTTACAATCATCTGCTGCGCAATTTTAATTAAGAGGTCATTACAATTGCATTGTAATTTTTATTAGATTATATAATTACAGTTATACTGTTTATTCAATTAGATTTCACAATTAAAATGCAATTATAATTAAAATGCATTTGAGTAAATTGTATATGTAATTAAAAATTGTTACATTGTAATTACAAGATAATTGCATAATATTATTCCAATTACTATGTGTTTTCAATTGCATTCTGCAATTACATTTGCAATTAAGATCATGATTTTCCTGGGCTACGTAACTGCTTTTATCAGAAACAATTGCTATCCTAATTACATTATTATAATTACTTACTGGAGTTACAATGACAGTGTAATTGTAATTAGATTATATGATTGCAGTTGCATTGAATATGAAATTGGATTTCACAAATATAGAGTAATTGTAATTTAAATGAAATTACGTAAATTGTAATTGTAATTAAAAAAACAGCTACTTTTTAACTATAACTACTTAGTAATTGCATAATTTTATTACAATTGCATACTACACTTAGAATTACAATTATGATCATAATTTCACTATGTTAAGTAATTCTAATTATCAGAGACAATTACTTTCCTAATTACGTAGTTATAATTACCTACTGCAATTGCAGTTAAAATTACGTTGTAATTAGCTAATATTACCGTAGTTGTGATTAGATGCAATAAAATTTGTAATTGTAATTAGATTATATAATTATAATGTTTGTGATTATCATTGCATTGTAATTGTAAGACTTAAGAATTAAAATGCAATTACATACATTATTGTTGCATTTAAAAAGTACTTACTTTCTAATTGTAATTGCGAAGCGAAGCTAATTACAATTGCAATATAATTGAAATCACATATTTCAAAATATTGTTGCAGTTTCTTGCAATTTTAATTTTAATTCCAATTACATTTTGCCAAACTGCATCTAAAATTTGGAGAATAATTAGGCTGGAAAATGAAAATTCTCTTTACGAACATAAACATTTAAGTTTACTATAGCTGGTATAAGCACAGAACAGCTGGAAGTTTTGAACGAGCTATTTATTCCGAGCTGTTATTCAAAACCTAACGATAAAACCCATTTGCCCCTAGCGAATAGATAGTTTCCTCTCCTCAATTACCTCCCGCAGAGAAAAATTATCACCTGTCAGTTTACATTAAGAGCAGAGAGGGGAGGGCACTCTGAGACAGGCCGTATATATGCTGCTTTGTTTGCCTTAACTTGCCGCTGAGAACCCGAATTCTTCTATCTTCTCCTAAATCATTATTGAACCGAACAATATACGCCTGAGTTTGAGCTAATGTGTATCAGAAAGGAGAAACACCTTGCTAAAAAAGAGAAATATTGAAAAAAATAGCTAATTTTCTGGATATACAATAAGGTTAGATATACAGTAAGGTTAGATCAGATTCAATCAGATTAATGTGCATTTATGCACATTAATCTGATGTTCGATTAGATCAGATTCATCTGCTATTATATAAATCTTCCTTTTGGCCATTTGCTTCAGAAATACTACACACCACATAGATTTCCCCTCTTGATTTTTCAAGTAATAAATTAATATAAAAAGAGTAGACAATGTGAGAAAATATGGTAGATAACTTTTAAAAGGCTATATATCAATACACACACAAAATACATAGCTAGATAGATGCAAGAAACTAATGTTTCTAAATAAGAAAGAATTCAAGGTACACATCAGCTAAATCTCAAAATATTTTGAAAATGTTTTGTTTTAATGCCAAATAAACCAACAGAAATGTTTATACTTACTAAGTTGCAAATGCTCCCATCTCTCTTCCCAGCGATCCATCATTAAAGTTCGTTGGGTGGTTAGTGAAAGAAGTTTTTCTTTAATCTAATATACAACACAAAACATTGCCAGATTAAGTATTTTATTTATTTATTTAATTCATACTAAGTAAAAATGAATATACAACATTATATTAAATTGACATAATATGAAGAATTAATTTGTATTAGAAATATTTTAAATAATAGTGTATTATTATATGTTTATTCAAGATACACTAAACATACTGCTTCCAAGTGTATCATTATTATGAGAAGAGAAATTTACTAATTATTTTTTTCAAAGACCAATTTATTGCACTATAAAGAGCAAATATTATCACTTTCTTAACTTTCATCACAATAAATTATTTCTTTTCTATGGTATAAATTTTGTAATTTTAATAAGATGGACTATGATGTATTTGTTTCTTTTAAAATGAAATAATTTTACTGTTGTAGGCACAAAAAGATAAAATTACAAGCTGATTTTAATTTTTAGAAATTACATATGTCCTCTACAAGAACAAATTTAACTTCCAACCTCTAGCATTTTTATTTTAATAAACGAACAAATTTAACTTCCCTCCTCTAGCATATTTATTTTAATAAACAATCTTCTGCCCATTTTTGTTCAACTTACCTCAATCTAGTCCTCTGTCCTTTTAATTTCCGAACATCAAAAGTTCATAGTATCAAGAAATTAATTAAACATAAATTTATTTGAAAACTGGGCTCTTAAAAATTAGTTATAATTTTAAATGTTGGCAGCAAGGAAAACAAATGACAACTTCATTTAAATTATTATTAGTGCATTTACAATTATTCATAAAAGTAATTTTAGAATCTTATAAACAGCATGTAATAAAATGGTCATGGCCTGCTATAAGCACAAAGCTGTGTACTAAACAGTGATTTTAATTTATTTCTTCCATCTTGATTCAAAATATTGATTTTATTGCTGAAAACATTTAACAATCAAGTTTTAGAATGATAGCATCATCTCTTATTTCTTAATTTTAAAAAGACTTTTATTTTTAATTTTTATTTAACATTTTCTTAATTAAAAAAATTTCAAATCTTATTTCCAAAGTAAACAAAAAAAGAGTGAAATAAATTTGATTTTACTGCTGATTTGACAAATATAAAAAATAAATAAACAATATATTAAAAAAAACAATAATAATAATAATAACAATTTATAATGAAGACAAATATTTTATTTAAAGGTAAAAAATACAAAAATACAAAGCTGTAGTTCCCCACCCGTCAAAACAGTAAAGAAATATAATATTTTCTGATTCCACACACTGAGTAAAAAGTAACAGTATCATTTATCGTAAAAAAATCTTTAAACAAATAAAATGTAGGAAATCAAAGCTAAAATGAAGAGCAATAGAAATCAATTCTGAGTAATCCAAAATAGGAGTTATTGAAACTTCACAAACTGCACTTCAAACGCATATCAGATTCTATGCAGATATGCATATAAATATATTTATTAAAGCAAAATAAAAAGTGCAACTAATGTATAAAAAATGCAAAACATAATTAACATTCAAAAATTTAAATTTTTAAATGCATATTTACATAAGAAAAGCTGTCTATAATGGATCATGTGGTAAGATTAGAAATCATGTGGTTTTGATGGAATTAAGAAAGTAGAGTCTGTGAAAGTGATAATGAAAGCTAATAAAATGTTTTCTTTGTATGTGGTAATAATACATTTTCTTCTAATAAAAGCAACACTGTGTGGCAATAATGATGTAAATAGCATCACAAAAAACAGTGAACATGATTTAAACATGTGACATACATTGTTTAGGAATAATACTATTAAGACTTCAGCTTATATAGACAAAAATGCCGTGGAAATAATTTCACTCTCCCTTAGAAAAAAATTTGCTCTTCAAGCATTTAAATCAACTGAATTAAAGAAATTTGACTTTTAGATAAGAGTTAATATTAAATTTTATATTGTGTTTAGAAAGTAACTTTCAGTTTGACTCATTGAAAATTTCAAATTATCAAAGTGCGAGTTCAGCACAATATCAAAATCCAGAAATATATTGTAAAATATGCAAATTTCTTTTCCAATAATATATAATAATATTTCCTATAATCTTAACATTATTAGTAAAATAATCTCTTTCAATCCTCATTTTTTTATTACATTTAATTCTTAAATCAAAAATTAATGCTGGTATCATTGCCTTTCAGTTAATCTTACATGGCTTATTACAAGGAAGTATCAGAAATTTTTACTGCAAAAAACTATTAACAAAATATAATATTTACCTCATTTGAAGCATAATGATTTCTAGCAAGTAATTCTTTGCCCAGATTAATGCAGACAGATATGTTATCTTCCCTGGTGTCAATTTCAGCTTTTAAACTCTGGTGGTTGTTCATTAATAGTTCTACACCAGAAACATCTCTAAAAAAATTACTTTTATGAAAAAAAAAATGTTTTTTTAATTTTTGGTTTCAAAAATTTATAAAGCAATTTACTGATATTTTCTTAAAATAAATTTAAATAAATCAAAAGTTTATTTTAAATGTGTTATTACAATCACAAGTCATTATGTCACTTGCTCTCAAATTTAAGAGGGAGGTATTGAGAATAAAAAATAAATGTTCTTCTTAATTAGAAATAAAATTCAAATCAGTTCCCATAAACTTCCATTTTGTAAAATGAACTTTGTAAATGAACGTTTATATCTCAAATCATTCATCTAAGGGTCCAATAGCAAAAGATAAATGAATATGCTAAATGTTTTCCCAAAATTTAATTTAATAGTTTTAATTAAAATTAAACATTAATTAATGGAGATAATATAAATTATTATATTTGTATAATGTTTCAAATTTTGAAGCAAATTCCAAATTTGGTTTTAAGTGACAACCAAATTAATGTTTAATTTTAATTTGAAACCAAATTTTAGAGTGTTTAATTTTAATTTGAATTAATGTTTACTTAAATTTAATGTTTAATTTTAATTTGAATCCAAATTTTGGAGCTCTTTCTTTGGGGGGTGGGGTTCAAATGCTTTATAAAAATATTCAAAATTTTAAGGTTTTAAAAATATGCAAAATTTTTATTTTAAGTACACTTAAGTAACTTTTAAGAAACTATTCACTAAATTGAAAACCAACTGTTATATTTAAAATGAATTGTGAATTAAATTTTAAATGAATTATATACTGAGTTTATAAAGACAGGCAAATATGTTATGAAAGTCATGCATTTAAGAAGCATTTGGCTTCAAAACTGCAAAGAAATCCCATTTATATATATATTTTTTAATTATTTAATTTTTTATTAAAATATTAAAAACTGCAACTTTGTTTTCTGATATAATTTTTAGAAGAAATATATAATTTGAAACCCAGTGGACTCGTTGAATTATCCTAAAACACTATACCTATTAAAAAATAAATTAATAAATGACAGTTTCAAAAAGAAAAATTATACAAAGCATTAGTTTCAATTAACTTTGTATTAAGATTTTAAAGAAATAGGTACTTCATTTCAATAAAAACATATTGAAAAAACTTTTCTTTCACAGAAACTAATACAATACATATAGAAGAGACTCAGACAGAATTATTTATTTTTTCAATAAACAGCTTTAAATTATTCTTTTACCTTGGCTTTTCTGAAGTATTCATCAGTCTAACAGTTTCTTCCATCCACTGCATTAGATCTCTCACCATGTTTAAGAAACGGAAAAGATCACCAGTGTCAGCCAGTTTCTCTCTTCTTGTCTCACACATATGTAGAAGTTTTTGCCAAGCATTAACAACTTCTGAAACTTTACTGCTGATTTCATTTGCTCGATCGCCTGCATATATAGAACTGAACTTTACAGCATCATCTTGTATTTGTTGTACCTAAAAATTGAAAAGTATATAATAAAAATGATTTTTAAATGGTACTGCTCTTCAGTATTAATTCATATAAAAAGCTCTGAAATGTTTTTAACTCTCTGTATGAATACAAACTTTCATTAACACATAAAACATGAAATTATGATGAAAATCATCAGTAATGATACAGTAAGTAATCTACAGCTTTTCGTTAGTTAGTTATTTTAAGACGGTAAGATTAAAATTGGTTGTCATTTTAATCATTTCTTTTTCCCACCATTTATTACATGTTCAAATTTAAAAATAGCATTTTAGAGCTGCCATCTAATAAATAAATACTTAAAATGTTTACACATTTTTAAAATGGGTAAAGAGAATTTTTTTTAATGTTCAATCTGAAAGCCTTTCTTCTGAACTATAAGTTTGCATCATGATTTCGATGATAGAAAGGCTTTTCATAAAATTTCCAGGGGTGCAGATTTCCACTCTTCTTCAATTACTTTCCAGAGTTTATCATTAATAGTGGGTTTGCACATAGAAAAGAGTTTTCAAGAGATCAAAGGTCTAATATTCAAAGGTGAAATATCAGGTGAATTTGCAATACTTTGAAAAGGTATACATGCAGTATCTGTATCAATCTTCATTTCTTCAAGGATACAGTGGTATTTTTCAATTGTAATGCAGTGGTACTTTTCAAGTATTGTTGTTCATGATTTTGTTGATGAAGTTTCACTATTTGAAAGTCAATAGGAAAAAGAAATTAAATTTCTTCTGCAAATCTCAGATGTAAACTTTCTCTTGACAGTACATTAGGTTGATTTTAACACATTTTCCCACTCTTCTTATTTTTAATTTCCTATTATAATAGAATCCTGTGACAATCATAAATTCGTTACTGAAACTTTCTTTGCATTGACAGAACCAGGTTTATGCATTGTGTTCTCTTCATTTTTGATAATAAATAGACTTGCAGTCATTTATTATTTCTTTTTGTTGGAGTCATTTAAGTAAATCCATGCTTCATCGAGAGTCTGAATATATTTCTAGTTATCTCTTGATAAATAGTGTTCCTACAGGTTTTACAAACTGTTCTGCATCGAGTGAGTTCACCAGGTTTGCCTCAGAAAATCTGGGGAACATTATGTTTTTTGAATTTTCCAAAATTTAAATCTTGGCCTAAAATTTTATTTATTATTGCTAAAGATGTATTTAAAGACTTTAAAATTGATTTCTGAATCTGCAGATTTTCTCCTATTACCAATGATTTAATTTTAGAAGCATTAGAAACAGTATGTACATTTTTCAGCTATTCATCAGGAGTTTTCTTTCCATACAGAAGTAACAATGATGCTTTACCCTTTCGGATTAAGAATGTTGCTTATTTTACACTTAGAAATTTAACACCATGCATTTCAAATTACAGAACAGAAATATTTCTCTTCTGAAAGTACAGTTACACTTTGCTTTCTAATGACAACAGAAATTACCTTGAATTTTGAAAGGTATCTTTAATGAAGAAATGTTATTGAGTTTCTTAAACATTTCACACCCTGAAAAGTTATTTAAAAACTGAAAGCCTAAGGTGTTTTGTCATAATTAAATAATTCAACCCAATCAGAGTTTTAAATCAATATAACCAAAAGAACTTCTAGATAGTTGTTTGAAAATGTATAAATCTAAAATAATAATTAGCATTAGGTGATGCAAATAGAAGATAAATTTTGTATTTCAGAAAAACTGTATACTGTTTATGTAACTAATACTTTGTGTTAGCTATTCAAAAGTAACTTTTGACAGAGCATTATTTCTAAAAAAAAAAAAAAAAAAAAATCGATAAAAAGTACCAGTAATGAGAATAATAATTCAAAATACATGCACACAAAAAAGGGGGAATGATTTTTAGAACTCACTGCTGATCCTAAAGTTTGAAGGTCATGTTCAAAACCGATGTGCTTTCTCTGCAGACTGGAAACACTAACAGCATCTCGACCAAGTTCATAAGGCATAGAATTTTGTTTTTCCTGTTGAAATGTAACATACTGATTATGTAACATATCACACAGTAACTTCCATATTAGTACAAACAAAAAATTGTCAAAATCATTTTAAATTAAAAAATTTTCCACAATAATTAATAGCAGCATAGCAATTTAAATTTTGACACTAATTAAAACGTACTAATTTCATATTGCTGGATAAAATCATAAAAATTACTTCTATATATTTATGTATGATTCAAATTTAAACAATTACATAAAATTTGTAATTTTAATGCAAATTAAAAAATATCTCATAAATAAGGCTTTTAGTACTGACCGCAATTCGGCTTAACACATCTGCACAATCATAGAAAAATCTGTACAGTTTCCAAGAAGCATTAAGCATTTGTGTTCTAGTTTGTATGAGTTCAAGCAGGTCAGCCCAAGCTTCATTAAGCATGTCTTTCCATTCAGCAATAGTAGCACTGTCTGCATGGTGTGCAGTTATTAATTTATCTGCATGGAAATTCACTTTAGATACTCGCTCTCGACCAATCGATTCTGTTTCCTTTGCAAAGTCTTTGAATCGAGCTCGAAGCATCTAAAATAATCCAATAAAATCTAGTTATTATAGAAGAGAAATATCAGTAATATGCAACAAAAAAAGATAATTACATTATATAAAATAACTACCGTTAAGGATGTCAAGTGAAATTATAATCTTGCCTGAAAAACATACTACAGACATCTCCCACCTGTTCAGCAGGTCAAGATATTTACTTATTCGTCCAAGAAGCAACCTTATTTTGATGTAAGTTTTGAACAAAACTCTATCAGTTTTCAGAATAATGAGACACAGATCACTCTTATTCAGGAGAAAAAAAAAAAAAAAAAAAAAAAATTGGCAAAATGGAAGGAATGAAGTATGCTTCATGAAATATTAAAGTATTGTCACTTGCCATATAATATAGAGCAGACTGCTACAAATTCAAACTGCTACTCTTCCGTTATCGAGACTGAATTCGCATGCATGCATGCATACATACATATATACATACATGCATGCATACATACATACATACATGCATACATACATACGCATACATACATATGCATGCATATACATACATATGCATGCATATGTATGTATGCATATGTATGCATGCATGCATACATACATACATGCAGACAGACAGACAGACAGACACACACACACAGACAGACAGACACACACACACACACATACATATATGTTTACATAGATACATTTCTTAATCCAGTATCAGTAACAGAAGAGTACCTTCAAACTTCTAAATCTGTTTGAATAATCAAGGAAGGAAGTAAAATATATCTTATATAAATTTCAAACAATAAAATATATATGTTCCTTGAAGTTTGTATCAGAATTTAGAACCTCTATTTAATTTTTAGCATCTTGCAAAAGCCCAAAATTATTTTATCTTTTATTACATTGACTTAAGCATGAGATGATTTTTTTTTTCAAAAAATACCTATTGAAAACTATACCCATTTTGAAAAGCAAAGCTTATTATTTAAAAAATGAAAAAAAAAATTCTGTACTAACTGTATAATAGCATCAATAATAGTTTTTATTAATTATAACAACATATGTTATTGCACTTCTATACCCGTTTAGATACAATGATAAAATAGATACTTAAACTATTAAGAAATTCTTTTATTGATTTTAATTTTTCAGTTTATAAAGCAGTTACAGAGTGATTAAATTCAATACATGAATTAAAGATCTTAAGTTTACCAAACAGCAAAATTCTTAGAACTAGTTAAGAACAAGGCACATGGAAGATAAATACATTATCATTTACATAATGGCATCACTTGCTAAAGCTCAACAAAATAAAATGTGACAGACCAAAAAATTTTGGCATAAGTTTGCTAAGCACATTTGTTATCACTTAAATCATGGAAGAACTTTTCTAAAACATTTTTACTCTAAAAATTAAATTAAAGAACACCAATTGGTCGCCAAAACCTACTAGGTGATGGTCATGTGTTTACCAATGTGTGGAATACAATAAATTCAGATAAATATTTTGATTAAAATTAAATCAAAGCATGTCAACTGGTCATGGTTGACCAAGAGGCTAAGGTCACTGTTGATCAGTCATTGGATGACTGACATGAAAAAGTGCAATGAATTTAGCTAAATTTTTAAATAAAAGGAATTTGAAGTATACCAGTGCAGATCATCAGTGGCTGACAGGTTGGCCATCACTGGCAATCAACACATAGTTCATAACTGTAAGGCAAATTCAGAAAATTTAGATAAATATTTTTTAAATAAAATTAAACTGAGATCCATGCCTGCCAAAGCATTTGATAACTGGTCATCTGTAGTTGATAATTACTGTTGCCAATCGCTGTGGAAGTTAATTTACAGACCTCTTCCCTTTTTTTTTTACTAAAATTAAATTCAACAATTTTCGTGCCCATCAAGGCTTTTGGTACTCATCAGTCCAAAATTTAATTCAATACTTATCGCTGAATATTAACATTAAAAGAAAGTAACTTAGTTCAAGCCACAGTACTTATTCTGTTTACTTGCTTTTCTATTAAAACACCTTGAATATATAAAATTTTGAAATTATATTCTTGAACTTGATATCAGCTTAGAAATCTGAGCCTTCTAATAAATACATAATTCTGCTCTTTCTTTCTTTCTAAAGTATTTTAAATGCAAGGTTTTCTTTGTGTTATGGCCCTTATTACCAGGCCAATGTGATAGATTAATTAAAAGTAATAAAAATAATTTTATACAGAAATTTGTCTGCAAAATAAAAATCACTCACAGTAACATGATCATAATCTTGCCCCAGTTCTTGAGATCCAGCTATTACTTCTTTCTCTGCTATCCACTGCATCAGATCATCAACTTCTCTGTTGAGACCAAACAACTGCAAAGCCTCCTCCAGTTTCTTACGCTTTTCCAATGCAAGATCTTTCAGTCCACTATACAACTTATCTAGCTGAGCTTGCCTCAAAATAATCTCATCACTGTTCAAAATAAATAATAAAAAACTTTTCAGAATTTTTTTTTTTTTTTTTTACTTTAACATACATCAATAGCAAAATTTCAAGATAAATAAGTTTATTGATTTCCTTCCATAAAAAAACCAAGGTAACCGAAAACATTTTGGTCACTTACGATTCTCAGATAGCACATAGTACTCAGTATCGGGTTGTTAAGTAATCTCCACTGACATCTAGCACTCTCTGACAACATTCTTGCAGTTGTGCAATGTCCTAGTGATAAAACTCAGGGGTCTTAGGTGCATGCCTTTCCCAAGTAGGTTGTTGTCCAGAAATGAAACAGCTAGCAATTTTTTAGGGCTAGATCCAAAGAACAGTATCTACCAGCCAAATTGCAGAATGGAATCCTTGGTTTTCTTGCCACATTGTGAGCTTGTATTGTTATGGGCATACAGCATGCCCTTGCAATTAACTAAAACTGGCTTCTTCAGTTGTTCTTGTTGAAGATGCTGCGAGTACATGGCTTCAACGATGATGTGGCCTAATGGAAGAAGCATGAGTGAACTTATATTGTTGTGGAAGTACAGCATACCTTCTTGATTAATTAACACTTCCTTCTGCTGCAGCAGATGTTGCACTCATTGCAATGCTGTGATATTGTGGCCTGGTAGAAGTAGCTCATAATTCACCATTTGGTGACTAGCTCATTAGACACAGAGCATGCACTTGCATGGGTGCACAAGTGGTCCTGAGGTATGAGACATAGGGTCACATGGTGACAACCAATGTCTGGTGTGCTTGGGAGTATCACACTGTACTCACCTTTTGTCACTCATGATCACTGGACCAAATATGAGTATGTTGTGGTGTCTAGATAGCAATGACAAACAAACTGTCACTTGTTAGTTGCCATCAGTGTGATGGGTTTTCAGCAAGTTTACCACATACTTCACTGTTGTCTTCCTCTATTGCCTGCCAGCAGGGCCTTGTTATCCAACACTTGTAGTCACTGGACTACAAGGTTCATCTTAAAGGCTTAGATCTCCTGATTTGAATTTCTGGAACTAATGGTGGGCAGTTCATTTTTTCATGGTATTCTCCCCATATGTCTGACATATTCAATGACTTGGTCCATATATGACTGGCTGCTAAAAAGGCTCAGTAAAAAGTCATACAGCAAACAACTGTTAACGAGCTGCTTCCATAACGTCATTTCTTTTCAACATTGGATGAGCTGTGTACATTGCATGTGTCCATATTAGTCTAGGTCAATAGTTAGACTAACTCTTCATTACTTTTCTGGCATAATAGTTTCTTCTTTGTGAGTAGTTTATCAAGTGAGACATCAAAACCAAAAGAACATTTTTAGTTGCCTTGTACATTAAATCTCAACTATCCAGAAAATGCAGAAATTAAATCCTCAACTATCCAGAAAATGCAAATTAAATCAGTTTATTGAGAATTAATTGAATTTACATTAATTACATAATTAATTAAAACAAATTTCTTATGATTGTGTTGGGACATCATGCTTATCCTTAGCTGACAATGATACATACATGTTAATAGTATCGAGAACTCTCTAATAGCATTACACATCTCACATTTACTAAAATTTTTGTGGGAATATTTTTTCCCCTAAAATTCTAAAATATTCCAGTTACTTAAGCTTTCTAGTTAGCTGAAGAACAGACAATCAGGCTTTCAGTGTACATATATAATGAAAATGACGGTATTTTTAATAACACAAAAAGAGGGATAAATTTAAAATGTAATCACTTTCATGACTTGAATAAAAATTTTCAAAATATCAAAAACAAATTAATTAAAGTTCACCACTTACTAGCCGTTAATTCCCCCATCAACTTCCCTCCCAAAAAAGCAAGAAAAACGAAAAAAGAAAAACAAATTCCTTGGCTTAGAAGTGAATTTTAGACATTTCTTAGAATTCATATATTCATAGCTAATAACAACATAAAGCATCTTAGCATATATAATGCAACACACAAATTATGTGAATCATAAGCACTAATAAACTTTAGGAATTAAATGAGTAGATATACAGAAGCAAAAAATAATTCAAATTTTTCTTTTCTTTAAATTACTACTGTTTATTCTAATAAATGATTTGGGTCATTTATTCTAATAAATGATTTAGGTTATTAGAAATATAAAGCTAAAATTAGCAATCTAAAATACAATTGTGTAAAAATATGTAATCTTTGCCAATGACATAAAAAACTTAAAGAAAAATGATGAAGATATAAGAAAACAGGTTATATTATTATATTTTATTCTTTTATAAATTACATATAGTAGAATCTTGATTTATTATTCCTGCAATAATCATTGTCTTGCCTGTATGCTTGCCATTTCTAATCCCAAAACTCTATAGAAATAACACTTTTTAACTCTGGTTTGCTAATAATTTATGCTGTAATATGATAGTTACTCATCTATTCCTCCAGTAACTATCATATTACAGCATAAATTATTGGCAAACCATATTAACAGCCCAGTATTTTTCACACAATTCATTTGACAAAAAATTTTAAATAAAAAATTATAACTATTTGTATAACCTTCTCTTTGGAATATAGAGCTGACAACATGGTAAAATAGTAACTTCTCACATTTAGTACTCAATTCTGTGTCTATGCTGTTATTGTTAGTTTCCAGGTGTTGTTTTGTTGAAAGTTAAAATATGTTTAATTTCTGTTAGTTTTCAGGGCTTTCGAGATTGGATTTTCGTTTGAGTCTACAAGGAGCATGGAGATAAAAGAAAATATGATAAAAATGAACATGAGATTCTGACTGTCACCAAAACTTTCAAAGCTTTATTAAAAGTTTTTTTTTTTTTTTTCTTTAAATGTGTAAAGAAGTACACAGATTTCAAAAACATTTTAAGTCTAATAAAATAGCATTTTCAATGCAGGAAATATCTCACCAAGAAGTAACAGACTGAGTATAACTTCTTTCTAAAAAGTAACTTTTTAATTTAACGTACTCATGCTGAATGTAATAAATATTATTTATTTATAATATGTTATTTATTTGTAATGTATAGCTGTTTCATGGTTTAATCATTTTCCCTCATTCATTGTTCCTTCTTCCATTTAGCCCTTTGAAAAACAATAAATCATTACCACATTGTATTATTTTTCAAAATAATAATTGACATGGCAAGTAATTTAGCCTTATTTAGAAAAACTATGCTACACCTAGTAAATTTTAAATAAGAATAGCCTATAAAATAGTGCAGTTTATCCAAAGCTTAACATATTCCTGAAAAATAAAATAAATACCTTTTAGGATGCTTAGTAGCAACTAATTGTTTGGCTATGTCTCCAAGTTGCATAACAGTTTCATGGTAATTGTCAATTTCATTTTCGTAACTAGCATGTTTCTTCATCAAGTTTTGGGCACTTATTTCATCCTTGCCCTTGTCTTCTGACATCATATAGAGCTCTTGTTCACTCATCCAAGATTCTGCTTCAGATGCATCGAAGAAATACTGAAATAAAAACACGCATAAATACAAAATGTTTCAGAATCAACTACAGACTTTTTTTAAATTTTAAATAGAAATAAATGCAACAACAAATGCATAATAAAAAGCAATGTAAAAGCATAAATTAGGGAAATGGTGAAATGTATGTGAATGCATGTATATGTGAAACATAGTTTAGACTAATCAAAATTAGTCAAGTAGAGCAAACATAATTTATGCTAATCAAATTAATGTTAGTGAACACATAATTTATACTAAAAAAATTATCTATATGGTTAGTCTAAATAACTTCTTCATAAAACTTTTTATCCTACATTAAGGAAAAGTGCTTCTATTTAAATTTTAACAATGGCCATAATACTTTATATTCCTTAATTATTTCTTTTAGGGCAACCAAGTTTAAAATATTTTTTATATAGTAACTCACTTTCGAATACTAGTAAATGTAAAATGCTTGATTTCTGAATACCAAAAAATACAGTTGTTCAGTTGTCAACACAGTCATAAATCCATAGGTTGCTAAACATACAGTTTTGCATTTCAGATTGCATTATCATTATCCAGTTAAGATATCATGAATTCAATTAAGGTACACAGTTTTCTGCCAATACAAAACCACTAATGCAGCTATTTACAGAACTTACATTTTGTTTATATAGTTAATTGAATCCTTAATTTTATAATTGCAAATATTCTTTAGTTTTGATTTTCTCTTATTGTTAGCTTGTTTTAGAATTTCTCATAAATAACAACAAAAATTATTATTTGTCCCTTAGAAATGCAGAAGACATTAAGTAATACTGCAGTTGCCATAATAGTTTCAGTGAATAATAACAATTTAACAACAAGCATTTAACAGAATAGTACAAGACAATATTATATATTTTTAATGGCTTCAAAAATGTGGCACTTTATGATTATCTGCACACTCATAAAAGTAAATTTTGACTTTTTTAAATTTTTTAAAAACCTTTGCTTTTCTATCTTTACAGCTCAAAGATACTGTTCTGACCAGGCCCGGATCAAAAATGTGTGGGGCCCAATTGGATATTTTTTTTTTTTTTTTTTTGCGGTGCCCTCTCTATATATTAAATATTTAAATAAAATTCAAATTCAGTATATATATATATAAATATATCAAATGTCATGGATCATCAGACAGGTCAACTTTTACATAAATTAAAAAATAAAAATGTTCAAAATGCAAAAACACTTATTGAATATAAATTTACATCACCGAATATGAATACATGAATTTACATATTTCTAAGTTTTTGTTCTATAAATTCTTCTAAAATTGTTTTAAAATCTATAGTCCTTGCATCTTCCCTTTCAATCGACATTGTTGCTAAACTATTTAATCTATCCTGATTCATTGTCGATCTCAGATAGTTTTTTATTAATTTTAGCCTGGAAAATGACCTCTCTTCAGAAGCAACGCTTACTGGAATTGTTAAGAATATTCGGAGAGCAATAAACAAAGCTTGGAAATGCCATTGCTCTATTGTTATCCAATAAAAATTTGAACATTTTAAATGGATTTTCAAAAACATTCTGAAGGAAAAATAGATTTCAAAGCTCCCATTTCTTCAACTGACATTTTCCCATCTATATCAGCTTTTTTCACCTTTGGTACATCATTTTCTATTAACTTAGAGAAATTTATAATTCAGCTGCATGTTTTTGGTACTTCTTTTTCCATATTTTGAAATTTTCCCAGAAACCCAAATAATTCGTTGATTTTTTAATTGTTCAAAACGATCTTTTAGTGATTCTGTAGCTTTATCTAAAACAACATTAAAAAAAGATCCTGTATGCATTTATCAGGTCTTCAATAGGTTCATCATCACTTTCATAATTCAAATGTTTCTTTCTTTTCCAAAGCCTTTTATTTCGAAATTCTGTTGATACTTCCAAATCTTCAGCAAGAGTTTTTGCCTGAACTAAAATTTGTTCGAATACAGTATTTCTGTAGTTACTTAACCATTTTAAAAGTTTTTCAAATGAAGGAAGTGCAATGGATATGTCTACAGATTCACTTTGAAGTTCCTTGCTAACATAATTGACTTGAAACAGTAAATTGTACCAAAAAACCAGTGATACTAAAAATTTATAGTCTTTCATTGCATTTCCCAGAGATTCTGCTTCGCTTTTAATTTTAAAAATATGACTCTAATAATTATAACGATTGGAAGAATAGCGAACTACAAATGCAAGAAACAATTAACAGTTGATACTAGCTATACATCCACAAATGGCTGGTATGGTTGCGCATGCATATACCTGCATAGTAGTTCATGTACGTAGTGCAAAATCTCTCTAAAATAAGACTATCCCGATTAAATTCAATATATTTGACATGAACATTTAAGGGTATCAGTTTTCTATATTATAAGTATATATTATATAATAATAAACACATTAATAAATCTCATCCAGCAATGCGAACTTAAAATGCATATATTTTTAATTATTTGAATAATTCATAATTTATCCATTATCATCAAAAGCAATTTGCTTTAAATTTCGAAAATTTTTTTTGTTCATTTTGATGGTAACGCGGGGCCCGATTGGGCCCAATCGCTCCAATTGCCCTTTATCTGGCTCTGGTTTTGACCATAAAATATAATATAATAAAAAAGAATAATTTATAAGAAACAGACTCCCTTTTGTTTCCATGATGCATCAAGTAGCTGTCTTCCCCTCCCCGACTTTTTTTTTTTTTTTTTCGATATGAGACACAAATTTTCAGACATAATTACTCCAATTAACAGTTGCATTGAGTGATTATCCCAGTTTTTCTTCATATAATTTCATCGATATAAATTTTCCTACAATATAAAATAAAGTAGACAACTGTTATGAAGAAGATTTGGTTGTATTTGAACCAGTTTCTGGCATTCAATCTCTAACACTTATCCTGTATTGCAACTCACTGATGAAGTGTTTTAAGTGCAAATCTAAATTCAATAAGCAACTTTAACAGATCATCTGCAAAGCTAATATTTCATAATAAGTATTTTTTCTCAATTAACAAATAAATACTGAAACTAACAGATATATCAAGAAATCATACACATCAAATTAAGTATACTCTATGAAGCAATAGCATGGGCTACTGCTAGTATCAGAGAAAGAAGTTACAAGCCATAAGGCTGACATAATAAGACTAGTTTGTTAGGATCTCTCTAAATTAAGCATTCAGATCTTAATACCATACACGAATAATGTGATTCTTTCTTGTAACCTGTCTCTTTATCATAAACAGAATGATTGTTTCAGTCATTAAAAAGCTATTCAAAAACCCAAGAGCAGTTTCCTGCAATGAAAGAGAGTAAATTATTGTCTTATTTTGAGCTACAACCTAGCATTTAATTCCCCTACTTTCACTACCACAAGTCAGGATAATGGTAGATCTAATTATGCGACACTCATTAACAAAAATGCAACACATCATTTATACCTATACATATACACTGTATACAGTTGGTAAATTTTCTCAAAAAGTATCTTTTGTAATTATTCTTGTTCCATATCTTTACTGGACATTTTAATAATTAACTGCCTAATATAAAGCCCAAAAAAATTATAATCAAATAAAGGTTAGAAGTTCTGCATTGATAGCAATACTTTCTAACAGCAAAACAAATTAAATTTAAATAACTAATACAGATAAAAATGAAAACAAAATATTTCAAAGTAAAAAATTTAATATTAAAAATATATATTCTAAGAGCAATTTTTAATCTACTATAATTCCTCTAATTTACCGATATCATTACCTGTTGTGCTTTTTCTGATTCTTCTAATTTAATACGGCGGTACTGCAGAGCACTCTTCAATTCCAACCACAAACATTGAAGTTCGGAAATAAGACGCTTAAATTTTGCAGAATCTTCATGGTTTTCACTAATTAGTTTATTTCCATTATCACAAACATATACTATTCTTGGCTCGTGGTTGTCTATTTCAGTTTGAAGTGACTAAAATGAAAAAATAAATCTGATGTGGTCACCACATGACTTCCTTGCACAGCCTATTAAATATTTTTAGAACAGCAATAAACATATATTAAACATTGTTTGATATCTACAACAATAAATTATATTAAATATTGTTAGACATTCATTGTTATAGTAACTACACATATAAAATGTTATATACAGTCAAAAGTTGTTAATCCGGACTCATCGGGACTTCGGCGATTTCGGATTATCGATTTTTCCGGATTATAGATCATCAGTTTAAATCTGCTAAGACGGCATGCAGAAATATAAAATTAAAAATATGAAACCGTAATTTATGAAATAAAGAACAATTATGATCTAAAGGGTATCAAAAATTTACAAAAAAAAAAAAAAAAAAAAAAAAAAAAAAAAAAAAAAAAAAAAAAGTTTTATTATTTGTTTACTTTATTAAACATTTCTTTCAATGTAAGTTGTTTAAGTTGCTTCATTTTTTATGTGATAATACATTCTCTTTAATTCTTTAAACAGACATAATTTCTTGTTCATTTACAAGTTGACAAGTGCTCTAAGTCATTAAGTTCTGCAGTTCAAGTCCTATAATTGCTGTGTCAAGAATACAGACTAATTTGTCAATCGAAATTTTTTCGTTTTCAATAACCTCTGTCACTTTCTTCGCTATCGGAAGCGAATTATAATGATGAGGAATTTGATTTAAATCATATCAAAGACGGAGTACACCGAGATGAAATACTACATTTAGTAAGGAATAATAAGCCAAATAAAATAAAAACATCTGCCCTGAATGTAAGGATAGTGCTGAAAGATCAACTTCCAATTCATTGTGCGCCGCGGCATTAAAGATAAACAAAGTTTAGATAAACAAACCTTAAAGTTTAGATAAACAAGGGATATGCCTTTATCCATTTTTTGCAGCAATTCCACTGTTTGTTTAATGCACTTCGAAACATACTTTCGCTTTGTAGATCCTCTACATACTAGTAAATATATATCAGAAATTCTATTTGACATAATCGAAAGTTCAAGCTTACTTTTATAAAATTGCTCTAACAGTCTGCAAAATATTATAAGTCGAATTCAATTCGAAGATTAAGGAACAACGCAATCTGCAACATTAACTGAATTAGATAATTTTAGCTTAGCTTATACCGTCCGTTATGCATTAAATGTGCATTCGTAAACATATTTTGCACACGCGCACACGCACATTCGCAGCCGTAAAGGTCTTACGCGCATGCGTCAACGCGATGCATGCACAGAAAGTTTGTAGCTTTGAGGTCCGGATTGCAGATCATTTCGGATTATGGGTGTCCGAATTAACGACTTTTGACTGTATGTAATTAGATTTCGTTATTTGTGGAATATTAATTTTTCTTAAATTTAACACTGACAAAAATGAATCTTTTCATCATTCAAAATACTTCTGTAATTGGAAGAATATGACTATGACCAACGATGGTGAAATTAAAGGCATGGTAATGATTTGCGTGGGGATGTATATACAGTACAACGTCCGTAATCCGGATGTCCATTATCCAGAATGATCTATAATCCGGACCTCAAAGCCACAAACTTACGCATGCACGCAAAGCCAGTAAAGTGTTTACACATGCACGCTTCCGATAGTGAAGAAAGTGACAGAGAGGTTATTAAAAACGAAAAAATTGCGATTGACAAGTTAGTCGGTATTCTCGACACAGCAATTACATGATTTGAACAGTGAAACATTGTAACTGAACAAGAAATTATGTCTGTTTATAGAAGAGAGAACAAAATAGAAAGTATTAGCACAAAAAAACGAAGCAACTTAAACAACTTGCATTGAAAGAAATGTTTAATAAAGTAAACAAATATTAAGCTTTTTTTTTTTTTTTTTTTTTTTTGTAAATTTTGATACCCTTTAGATTATAATTGCTCTTTATTTCATAAATTACGGTTTCATATTTTTAATTGTATAATTTCTGCATGCCATCTTACCAGATTTAAATTGATGATCTATAATCCGGAAAAACCGCTAATCCGGAATCGCCAAAGTCCCGATGAGTCCGGATTATGGACTTTGTACTTTATATATATATATGTATGTATTGTTTCATAAGAATAAATTGAATTTAAATAAATTTAATTTAAATACAAATTTAATTAATTTACACAAATTTAAATTTTAACAAACATGTATATATGTAAAAAAGCACATTTTTTACGTATATACATGTTAAAATAATTAAAAAATGTGCATACATTTTGTTTATATGTATGTATGTATTTTGTATGTATGTATGTATGTGTGTATTTTGTATGTATGTATGTATGTATACACCCACATACGTGTATATAGATATATTTTTGGTACTGGTTATTATAATAAAAAACAGGAGATGCAAAGTTAGATATTGTAGCAGTCACATACACAAAATTTCAAAGTTCTCAAACTACTCATTTTTCAGTTATGCGAGATGAATACATACCTACATACATACCTACGTATAGACGTCACAAAAAAGTCCCTTTTAAATCCATCTTACAATTCCGTTTTGGAGAAAAGTGTCCTTTATTCTGTCTGTATATACAGACATCACACAAAAAAAATCATCAAAATGGATTCAGGAATTGTCTAAACGGATATTTCAGTTAAAATACGATACCTGAAATTTTTCACGCTTACAATACTTCCTTTACGTCATACAAGGAAGATGTGAAGAAAGTAAAAAGCAAAGACAGAAATAAAATTATATGAAACAGGTAAATGCAATACATTGTATTATTAGGTAATTAATCGACATTATTAAACAAATGTGCATCTACCTGTATTACTTGACATAATCTAAATGAATCAGCTTATAATGCAATAAATTTAATGAAAATTTCTGTCCATTTCGGCACGAAGATTATTTCTTCATGGGGGGGGGAGTAAAAGCATTTTTGGTAGATCATGTTCCCATAATTGATAGCAAGATACAGAACTATTCAGAAGCTTATCAGTTGTACCACAGAGAAACAGAAGAATAAGTATGGTTTAACAAAGACTTGGATTCCTGGATTCACACTTTCAAGCTAGATTAATCCATAAAGGTCACATAATTGTTTCACAAGCATTTATAAGCTATTTTTTTTTAACTCTCTTGCATCCTCCAAGACCAGTGTGACTAGATCAACTTAGGTATTCATCATCTATATCATTCCTTAAACTTTTACCATTTAGGAAATGAAAGAATAAAGCATGGTTTAACCAGTCATTAGTTTAGTGAAAGAGTGCATATATGTATACACAATATGAAAGTTGGTTTCATTTTTCAAAACTGGATTAATTCAGCCAAGTAACACAGCTATTTACATGCTATTCTTTGGGCTTCTTTAAACCCTCAGAGACCTCTGACACTCAATCAATTAGGTAAATATACTTGCTGATCATTGATCATTTACATCTTTTCTAAAAAATGTAACTAATTTTCAAGAAGAGAGTATCCCACTATATCTTTATTTTCTTAAGAGGCACTACCACCACTATAGCAGATTGCTCCTCAAAATGCACACAAACATTCAATAAAATCAACAACAATTTAAGTCTGAATTTTGCTTAATTTTAGAGTAATTGCATCTGAGGTTAGAAAAATTGAGCTTACTGAATTTGGCAAAGCCACAACACCTATCTGAATAAGAGGGGGAATGCCTTCATGGAGGATTTTATGAGGGAAACAGGTTTATATTCACCTTACACATGGGGAAAACCATGAACCTAAGGAAGCTGAACTAAAAGCATCTAGCGATCTTAACCACTTGGCTATTGATGGGGCAAATGCATTTGCAAAATCAAAATTTTATGAAGGAAAGTTTACATCTATTTATATATTTTGTATTCTAGCTGCACTTGATGAATATCTATTATAATAATTAATAGAACTACCATGACTTTTATACTGCCTTAACAAACGTAACCTTCTAACCAACAGGGCTACAGCCGAGAATACTTTTTGTGATTATCTGTAAGCGCGTATATATATATGTATGTGTGTGTGTGTGTGTGTGTGTGTGTGTGTGCATCTTGAAATATGTCAAAAAATTAGGACAATATATGAAAAGTGCAAAAATACAGGTATAAATATTTTGGCAGGGATATTTTAGCATTAAAATCAAGAAAATAGCTTTTTCACATGGCAGTTTTTGGAAATTTGGGCTTTCTTAGTGAAATCCCATGCTGGTCAGAGGGTTAAGTGACGCAAAATTAAAAATCAACATAAAATTGAACTTATAACTGTTTTTAGTTAAAAGCCTTAACTATATTTTGAATATAAAACTTAAAAAATGCATACTTGATTTTTCTTCTTTAGCATCTGGACACCAAAAAGACTATTACCATATTCAGATGATGTAGCTAAAGGCATCTTTTCTTGAATCCACAATTTTTCATCTTCTGTATCTCGGCAAAACTGATAGGCCTCTTTCTTCTTCATCAACTGCTTTTTGCGTTCTGTCAAGGGAGCTTGCAAACGTTTGAATCTAAATATATTTCCTTAACATTATATTTAAGACAATATTATACAAAATAATGTAATTACAGTTAAAATTTCAAAATATTTATTCCTAACTAGATTTTCTCTCCCATTTTATATAGTTATTTTTTTTCATTAACTTTCATTCCTATAAGTTGAAAAATTATAAGATAAAATTTGTTCAAATGCGAAAATCGATAAATTTATTGGATTTTGTATCTGCAAATGTTAAAGATAAATGAACAATGTTTTCCATGTTGCTCACCAAAACCGTATGTTACTCAAGGAATATAAAATAATACTAACATGCTTTATATATAATGGAAAAAAAAATGAAAAAGCCCCCATAATTTTTCTAGCTGCTTTCAATACAGAAAAACTGTAGATATTGCTAACCTATTTGTGTAACTGAAAAATTTCATTATTTGGTCCTTTAAAAAAGAATATTAATGTTTATATGATTGCATCATTTAAAGATGTATTCTTTTCATTTATTTTAATAGTATTTACTTTATACTTAATTTATTTGATTTATACTTTAATAGTATTTAATTGAATACTTTACAGTATTAATTTTTAACAAAATAAGTGTTTAATTAATTTTAATAAAAGTGTTACAACTAGTTTTTTTACCAGAATGTTTTTACTCAAGCTTCTTCATAATTTTAAAAGTTCTTTATTTTTCTACAGTGTTCCATATTTAATTAAACTTATTATAAAAAGCTATAATTATTTGCATATTATAACTAGTGTATTACTAATAGACTAATATTACTAACATACTACATAACATATGTATTATTAATAAACTAAATGAAGAACATGAGTTTTACATAGTCTGATCCTTTGCTTAAGACAGTAATATTAAAAAAGCTTTAAAATTTTAAAAATTGCAACATTAAATGTATGACATTTCTATGTGTATTTTAAAAATTTAAAAAAAATTTCTACATAAAGTTAATTGTATATACATTAAAATTATTTGCTACATAAAAATCCTTTATTAAATAAAAGAAATATATATTTCTTCTATTTAACAAAGGGTATGCATATAATATCATATTAATTTGTAAAAATAAAAAAATGAAAAAAAGAGTTAAAGAAATACGTGATACTGTTTCATTGAAAAAGGTTACATACTGTAAAATGTATAAAAGTTACATAGTTTATATGTAAAAACGTTATACAGTTACTCTCCAAAGTTGTAGGCCATCAAAAAAAAAAAAAAAAAAAAAACATATTTATGTACTTAATTTGTAAGCATTTGAATAAGTAAACACTACAATAGTGACCATAGCATTTCTTTAAAATCATTTAGACCTTTAATGATAAGTAAAAAAATCCTACCTCTCTTCAACATAGGCCTTTTTAAATTCAATTTCATCAGTTTTTTCTGGTACCATTTGTTCTAAGTATTGTGCTTGGTTTTCCAACTCTGTGACCTGCTTTGCTTTCAAAGCCATTTGTGTCTCAACAGCCTGAAGTTAAAAAATTGATAAAATTTCTTACAATACCACAAAGTAATTTTATTTATTGATAAGAATTAAAAAGAAATAAAATTTGATGAAATCAATATAGTTAATATTATTGAACAGCTAAGGCATGCAATTCTGACCCAGAAAAAGAATCTTAGAAATCTTAGAAAGTTATGCTACCCTTGAATGAGAGATGATGCATAGAAAAAATCAAATGCTAAGAAAAGCTGTGAAGTATGTATTAAAAATACACACATTAAGTTTCAGAAATGCATTAAGAAATTAATTCTAAAACTAATTTAGTAAAACCTAAGTTATGTTAAAGAACACAAAACACATACAAAAAAAAAAAAAAAAAAAAAAAAAAAAAAGGCCTATTTATTAAAGTAATATTAATGAGTGTACATTACTTTGAATATATGCACTAATAATAATATATCTATCAGTATATAGAAACTTAAATGAAGCTCAAAAGAAGGATTTCCAGTCCTAATAAATATATCTACATTAGACACAACTATTTCATTAAAAGATGATATTTTAGTATGTCAAAATGTTATACATTTTTATATGCACTTCAGTATAGAGTCCATTAAAACATGAAAAGCTAAAATTTAGTGAATGCAGATAAAACTACAAACATCAAAACACAAAATGTTCACATTAGAATAAAATTAGAGTTATCAAACATATTATACTTGAATATTTACTTTGTAAGAGAATGCTTGATTGTTACTTGATTGTTTATTTTTCAAATTTTATTCCTTTATATTGTCTTGTCATTAAATGCAAAATGAATTCAGTATTAAAACACAAAAAAAAATCATAGCAGCACATATATGCAATACAAATATCATCCAAATAATCCATCTCTCTAATAAAAAAAAAAAAAAAAAAGAGAGAGAGAGAGAGAGTTTAGTTTTAACCAAGAAGCTTATTTATTAGTTTAATACAGAATCCAAAGCTGGTCTAAATTCTAAAGCATTTCCATTTATATATTTTAAAATCAATTGCCATTTGCAAAAAACTAAAATATTGGACTTAGGAGATGAATTATCCTGCACTTTTTAATTCATTCTTTTTTAGGTATAATAACAATTCAGTTGTCATATTGCTTATTGGCAACTCTAAGACAGCTGTACATAATTGTTTAAAAAATTCAGGGTTTTTTAGTTTTTCTGAAGATACTCAATTTTATGTATAAAAATCATTAAAAATGCATTTAATAATTCAAATTATATTGTACAAACATTAACTTTAAAATGAATTATATTACTTAAACAAATATTTTATTCTCAATAAAGATGAAAAATATTTGTTGCAAAATAAGTTCAAATATCAATTGAATTGATAGCAGACAAAGAACTAATCTACACCCAGTTTACAAATATAAAAAAAATATAAATAAGTAAAGTAAAATTTAAAAAATATAATATGAATATATAGTTACCCAGAATTTTAAAATAAAATGCCATATATTTTTTTTAATTTTCTTGAAAGTTTTGTATTTGACAAAATTTATATTTTTTATATAATGCTTTATAAAAACTTCAGTTCTTATTTAATTAATAGAAACATGTCATAAAATTAGTCTCCTAAAATTTTGGATAAAAAGAAATGAGAAAAATATCTTAGCACATTAAGTAAAGACACAAAACTTTTCATGTTATATGACATAAATTTATTCTGTTACTTCTGTACTGTTCGAGAAATCTTAAATCTATACAGGTATATCTAAAATTTTTCAGATTGCATTTAAAAAATTGTTTGGCTATGAATTTCTCTAAAAACATGTAATAATCTTACAACTTGAATTCTAAATGAATATGAAAGTTTCATAAAAGAAATTGCATGCATTTCTTTTTGAGTGTTAACAAAATGAACTGACAAGCTAGTTTTTTTTTTTTTTTTTTTTTTTTCTGAAATGCTCAAATTATTCCTTCTGCGATTACATTTTTGATTACAGAAGATCTTATTCCAAAAGAAATAGAACAATGCTTGCATCATATGTATGCTGACTGATTTCCTTCTTTTTTTACAATGAAAAAAATGGAAAAAACAATTGTGGACCAAGAATCCATACGAAATTATTTTTGTAAAGATTCTTCCAACAAAAATACATTTTATTGGAAACACTGACAACAGAAAATACTGCTGATGTCCATTAAAAAACACTGAGTGATAGAATATTAAAAGCTAAGGAGCTAACAGCAAAATTGGATCTATTTAAAATAACTGCTTTGCACATTCTACATGATCATCCTTACATGAACAAAATCTCTGCAAGAGAGGTATTCTGACTTCTTTCAGCAATTTTAAAACAGCAACGTGTCAGCGCAATTTGAAAATAGTAGTTTGTGTTTAAGGAAAATTGAACTCCAAATAATTAGCATTGTTTTATTCATAATAATTAGCATTTGTTCTCCAAACTGAAATCTGACCTTATTGGAAAGAAATTTAATGATAATGGCAGTATGAAAAGAGCAGTTACGGAATACTTTGAGGACATACTCCCATTACTTTTCAGGAGCATGTAGTTGCTCATTAAAAGTAAGTGAAAAGTGTATTGAGGTACAAGGCGATCACATTGAAAATAAACTATTACAATTTTCTCTACTTCTCTTAAAAGCATAACAAGCCAGGAAATTTCCGAACTTACTTACTTCCCATTAGATTATGTATAATGTTAGCAAATTTGAATATTCATCTCATTTAACATTTCATTCATTACTGACTAATATTCAATTAATATTTAATGAAATGAGATATACTGAAATTTCTTCTGTGAAATGTATTTAGTGATTTTAGTAAGTTTTTTTATACTTTTTTATTTGCAAATATACAAAACATCACTATAAAAATAACAAAGTGCACAAATCTGTGTATTTTATAAATTTACTGTCATGAAACTAAAGCACAGTTAACCCTCATTATAATAACCTCTTATGAGTTAAAGAAAAAGATTATTAAAACAATTTGTCACTAATATAAAAGTGAATTTAATTTAGTCTCATCAGTCGCTGCAAAGTTTGTGGGAGACACTGAGCAGCAAAATTTTTAGGATTTACTCATGCACGAAAGAATGGAATTTAAGACCCACAGCAATTGTAGCAGGCAGCAAAACACCTAGTGCCAGCCCTGCTTACAGACAATTAGTTTACAGCAAAGTAAAACCAGGCAATATTATAAGATGTAAATGAATGGTATAAAGAACTGATATAATAACAAGGACATATCACCTGCTGTTTTTGTAAAATCAGATTGACACTAGTAAGATCTTGCCCTGTTTCAGCTGTCAAAACTTGATTTTCCAGTTCTGTGATCCAATTATCAATATCATCACAAGTTTGCATATAAAGAACTTGACGGTTTGCATCAAATAGCCTTTCTCCCTTTTCTTTTGTAGCATTTTCTAATGCTTCAAACTGCTGCTCAAGTTCTTGAAGCTGGGGATAAATAGTGGATGCCCATTCCCTTTTCTCAACTACAAGTTCTTCTCCACTCTAAAATTAAATTAAATTTAAAAATTAGAATTTAACTCAAATTTGAAATAAATTTTTAAGAATATTTGTATAATTATGTATATATTACCTAGTAATGCTACTTATTAATGAAAAATTACTAATAATATTTTAATTATTAAAATAAATTGTGAGTTTTATTTTTGATTTAGTACTTTATTATTAATACAAATGCATATACAATGGTAACAATGGTTTATGATTATCTGCAGCTTAAAAAACAAATCTGAAGAACAAAATACATGGAGTAAGCTGATAATATGTTGAGTATACAATAATTTAATTAATAAATCCCCATAATTTATAACAAAAGCAATTAACTAGCATTAAAACTATACCCACTGTAAAAAAGAATTAAAAATGAACTTACAGCTTAGAAACATTTTTCCTGAAAGACAGGTTAATGGATGAAAGAATAAGCAAACAGTTAATATAATTATCAAAATGGAAACCTTATGATCCCATATAAATTATTATAATTACTCAAAACATATTACAAAACACAACTTCATTTCTCCCTCAATTAATACCAAAAAGCAGTGCTAACCTGTTGAAGCTTTCTCAGGCGTTCTTTGTTAGCAGCAACTTCAGCTTCAAATGCCTGATGTCTAGTCCATTTGCTATGAATAGTTTTTGCACTACGGTATGTGTCATCTTGTGCTGTAATATATTTCTCCTGAGTCCATTCAGAGAGCTAAGCAATTAAAATTGAAAAATAGTACACAGATAACCAGAAACTAATGAGACATGACTTTTATACCATACTTTATAAAAATAATTTTCCTAACAATATTATGATAATACCTGCTTGCAGTCCTGCAGGAAATGATGAAGTTGTAACTGATCTTTTAATTTTTCCATGCGTTGGGCTGCTCGTTCATGATTTGCATTACACCTAAAAAAAAAAAAAAAATACTAATTACTTGAATATAGTTCTGAAAGGGGTAAAACATTGCAAAAACATGTAACTTTATAATAGTATTTAAAGTTTATTTAATTAGCCAAGTACTTGTAAAATCTTGCAAGTTTTCTCACTCTATCAGCTTTTATTTAAGTAAAAGAATTCTATACGAGGGGAAAAAATGCACAATAAAAAATCTGTGAAAATGAGCAACATGAGAAAATATTATTATTTTCATTTTACATACAATTCATTCCACCTCGTGATAGCATTAAATTTAAAGTGTTTTCTTATATACAGACATCTTAAACATGAATGTTAAAGGATAATTTTTTAACTTCATTAAAACCAAATTCAGTTCAAATTTTTTTTAATTCATTTTTCATTCACTTTCATTCCTTTATTCAAGTATTTTAACTCTAATAAGAAATTAAAGCATTTCACAGAAATTATTTGTATTATAACTTATTGAAATAAATATATTTCAGTACACAAGCAAACTCTTATAAATTATAACAATTTTATTTTTATGTAAGATTTATGCAGTTGCATTAAAAGTATAATTTAATTGTACATTCATAACTATATTACTAAATACAACAACATATACAAAAACAAAAATATTCATAATAAAATACCTTTCAGCCATATTTTCAGCTTTTTTGTGAATTTTGTCTGCAGCAAAATTACCATCCTCACATAATCTTTGAGCAAATTGGATTACAGCATTGACTTTCTCATCATTTGCTTCCATAGTGGTAAGAAATGTTTCATGCTGTTTAATGAGACATTCAGCTTGCTCCAAGTTGGTCTGAAATTATAATTAAAAGTTAATTAAGAAATGCAATTTAATAAGATTTAAATAAATGATTTAACTAATGCATATTTTAACTATTGTAAAACAACCATTCCATATTTTAGCCAAATAAATAAAGCTAAAATATTTTTATAGTTAGAATGTGTAGCTTCAATATGCTCTTATTACAACACTACTAAAGCTCTTCAAATAAAAAGCACCAGCAACATTTTTTTTCATTCCTGGAAATTTCTAAACTGAAAGAAATAAATACTAAAATAAAATTAATGACCAAAGTTAAGAATGAATATGAGGGGTAAAGGGAGAAGAGTGTATGCTTAATGAGGATATACATTAAAAGTGGGTAGAGGCCTATATTAAAATTACAAATAAGATAAACTTGAAAGGTATACAGTGAATTTGTTTGTAATTTTTAAACTACATGAAAAATACTAGAACATGTACAAATCATAAAATATTATAGAAACATTAATAATATGTTTTAGATGAGTTCTTAAGAAGTTTTATGAAGGACTTAGACAGGATTTCTTCATAATTAACATGGCCAGAAAATTAATGTAGGAAAATGTCTGATTTTTTACTTCATTACAGTTTCTGGTTTGGCACAAAAGAGCATTTTCTAGCCGTCTGTGGAAGCAAATATTCCTCGATTCAGTTGGGACAATAAGGAATGTGATCAGAATCCGCATCAGGAGCAATAAGATTTGTGATATTGCAAGAATATATCACATTTTTAAACCAGGAATAATGCTGCTATTCTCGAAGTCTAAACCTAGTTAATAAATATTCTACAAATAACCATTTAAAAATACCAGTCCTCAAATATCAGATGAATATCATTTCTGATAAATTTTAAGAAATTAAAATGTAGGTGACACTGGTAGTTTGGTCCAGGGTTCTAGTCCCAGCCAATGGCCTGGCTACATAGTTGTTTTCATGATTTTCTCCATATATAATGTGAATACAAATCAGTTTTCCTGAAAAAGTCTTCCATAGGGCATGTCTCCATTGCTGTGCAGTGTCTAACGGTGGAGCACATTATAAATAAATAAATAAATAAAGTTTATTTGATGGAAGCATGATTCTGATTAGAATTCATTTGTTTCTGAATAGAATGGAAGAGAAATACTTGGTTAAATATAATATTTTACTATGGTATGGAAAGAAAAATTAGTAGAAATTAAAGATACATTATTGCCTGTTAATAATACCACTTACCAGTATGATGGATGCAGCCTTAAATTTAATTCTCTCAAGCAGATGTAGCTACCATAAATAGAGGGATTTTGAACAATTTATATAGTAATTACCTATACAACTTATTTAGTATTTAAACAGTGTAATTATTCTGTATAATAAGATAATTAAACTTCTTTTTTCCCCATGAATTCCAAAATACAGGACTAAAGCATTATATCAAAAATTTCTTACTGGAGTTTCATCTTTTGATAAATAATGCTCCTGTTGATTAAGCAAAACTTCTGCTTGTTTTGCATCTCTCATAAATATTTGGAGATCCAGACTATTAGATAAAACCATTTGCCTATTCTCCCACATCTGAAGAAGTTCAGTCCACCCATCTTGAAGAGCTCGTAATCTCTGCAAAGCAGAAATATAACCACTAACATAATATTCAAAATATCAAGCAATAATCAGAAGTTTATTCAAAATTCATACATAATTACACAATTTATAGAAATTATTAACAGCAAGGAAACAGCAGTTGGCACTAACATTTAATAATTAATAGAATAGACAATAGTAAGTATCTGTGTTATATATGTATGCATCACATAGTTAATTTAGGTACAAATATTCAAAAAAATTCATTAATAATGGTTTATATTCAAATACAGTCAAAAGTCGTTAATTCGGAAACCCATAATCGGAATGATCTATAATCCGGACTTCAAAGTTACAAACTTTCTGCGTATGCGCGTAAGACCTTTACGGCTGAGAATATGCATGTGCGCATGCGCAAAATATGTTTACGAATGCGCGTTTAATGTGTAATGGATGGTATAAGCTAAGCTAAAATTATCTAATTCAGTTAATGTTGCAAATTGCGTTGTTCCTTAATCTTCGAATTGGATTTGGCTTATTATTTTTTGCAGACTGTTGGAGCAATTTTATAAAAGTAAGCTTGAACTTTCGATTATGTCAAATAGAATTTCTGATATATATTTACTAATATGTAAAAGATCTACAAAGCGAAAGTATGTTTCGAAGTGCATTAAACAAACAGTGGAATTGCTGCAAAAAATGGATAAAGGCATATCTTTTGTTTATCTAAACTTTAACGTTTGTTTATCTAAACTTTGTTTATCTTTAACGCCGCAGTGCGCAATGAATTGGAAGTTGATCTGTTAGCACTATCCTTATCTTCAGGGCAGATGTTTTTATTTTATTTGGCTTATAATTCCTTACTAAATGTAGTATTTCATCTCGATGTACTCCGTCTTTGATATGATTTAAATCAAATTCCTCGTCATTATAACTTGCTTCCGACAGCGAAGAAAGTAACAGAGGTTATTGAAAACGAAAAAATTTCGATTGACAAATTAGTCGGTATTTTCCACACAGCAATTATAGGACTTGAACAGTGGAACTTTGTAACTGAACAAGAAATTATGTCTGTTTATAGAATTAAAGAGAATGTGTTATCACATAAAAAAGGAAGCAACTTAAACAACTTACATTGAAAGAAATGTTTAGTAAAGTAAACAAATATTAAGCTTTTTTTTTTTTTTTTTTTTTTTTTTTTTGTAAATTTTGATACTCTTTAGAACATAATTGTTCTTTATTTCATAAATTACGGTTTCATATTTTTAATTTTATAATTTCTGCATGCTATCTTACCAGATTTAAACTGATGATCTATAATCCGGAAAAAACGATAATCCGGAATCGCCGAAGTTCCGACGAGTCCGGATTAACGACTTTTGACTGTAGCTAATCTGCATTATAAGTATATACCATTATTAACCAACTTTTGTACATTTGTTTTATAAGTCTAGAACAACAAATTTACTTCCTCACGTATTTCTTCTTTAAAAGAGTTTGATATTTTTAAGAAATTTATAAAGAAAAAGCAAATTATAAATCTTTGTAAAGAGCACTCGTGACTTTTTGAAACAAGTTTAGTCGATTGTGAAAAATAAAATTTTTAACCTAGTCATGGCAAAACAATTATAAAAAAAGCAAAACCAAAGCTCTAGAATTGAAATTAGGCAAAACAACAAATGTGTGCTGTATGGCATAAATTTTAATTAAAACTCTATCAATTCCAATGACAAACAGAAACAGTTCCCTCTTCCTCAGTAGAGGAAAAAAAAGTCTTAAAATCTTTAGTTTGCCCTCAAAATTGAAAGAGTTTCAAATAAAATTTATGACAAATACAAGGTTGTTGTTTTATCTAACTTTAATTTTTATGTTGCCGTGTTTCTCCTCTTTCTTAGCTCTAGAATTATTTTTGAACAGAATAATCTTGCATACAAACCTCTCTGAGGAACATGTACTGAGCATCAGTTTGATCTCTGGTTATTTTTTCTCCATATTCCATCATGTTGTTATAATCCTCAGTATAGTTATCAATCTCTTCTCTGATCTGCTGATGTTGAGTGATGAGGTTCTCAGCTTCTGTAAGACTGGAAGGGGTATCTTCGGAAGCAACATCAGTTTGTGTTCTTGTTAACCAAGCCTGGAAATGGTCTAGATCCCTCAGGAAACGGTGAAGATCACCAGCTTCTTCAAGTTTTGCATCCCTTTCTTTCAGCTAAAGCAACAGAAAGAACATTCTAGTTTATATAATTCACAATTACATATAAATTTCTCATAAAATATTTAGGCAAATGGAAAAAAATATTTATGAGTTACCTAGAAAATGAATATATAGAGAAATTTATTAGAAGTATATAGTTAATTTGTCACAGAGAAAACTGAAAAATTTTTAATTAGAAAATAAAATATGAAATAATTAACAGTGTTTATATAATTGCATTTGTTGTTCTGCCTTTGATAATAAAAAGGCATCAATAATTTTATGGACAAATATATCTTTAGAACTTAATGCTGTTTCATTTGTAAAAAAAGGAACAAATAAGAGAATGCCTAAAATTTAAACTATAGCAGGAAATCTATAAATAGATAAAAATAATAAAATTAATATTTTTGTTTGATAAACACTGAATACAAAATACAGTCAAAAGTCGTTAATTCGGACACCCATAATTCGGAATGATCTATAATCCGGACCTCAAAACTAAAAACTTTCTGTGCATGCGCCGTGTTGACACATGCGCATACGCGTTTACTCGTGCGCGTAAGACCTTTTACGACTGCGCATGTGAGTGTGCGCAAGTGCAGAATACGTTTTCGCGTGCGCGTTTTATGTATAATGGACGTATAAGCTAAAATTATATTAATTATCTATTTCAGTTAATGTTGATGATTGCATTGTTCCTTAATTTTCGAATTGGTTCCGGCTTATTATTTTTTGCAGACTGTAAGAGCAATTTTATAAAAGTAAGTTTAAACATTCGATTATATCAAATAGAATTTCCGATATATATTTGTTAATATGTAAAGGATCTAAAGCGAAAGTATGTTTTGAAATCCGAAATCTGTTTATCAATTTCACGTTCTTCGGCGGGGGGAACGCCGCGGCGGGCCGCGTAATGAATTGGAAGTTGATCTGTCAGCACTATCCTTATCTTCAGCGCAGATGTTTTTATTTTATTTGGCTTATAATTCCTTACCAAATGTAGTATTTCATCTCGATATGCTCCCTCTTTGATATGATTTAAAACAAGTTCCTCGTCATTATAATTCGCTTCCGATAGCGAACAAAAGTGACAGAGGTTATTGAAAACGAAAAAATTTCGATTGACAAATTAGTCGGTGTTCTCGACACAGCAATTATAGGACTTGAACAGCGGAACTTTGTAACTGAACAAGAAATTAAATATGTCTGTTCAATAGAATTAAAGAGAAAGTATTATCAACATGAAACGAAGCAAAAACTTTAAACAACTTACATTGAAAGAAATGTTTAATAAAGTAAACAAATAAATATTAAGCTTTTTCTTTTTGCAAATTTTGATACCCTTTAGATCATAATTGTTCTTTATTTCATAAATTACGGTTTCATATTTTTAATTTTAGAATTTCTGCATGCCATCTTACCAGATTTAAACTGATGATCTATAATCCGGAAAAATCGATAATCCGGAATCGCCGAAGTCCCGACGAGTCCGGATTAACGACTTTTGACTGTAATACAAAAATAAGCAATTACTTAAAATAAAAGAATAAAATCTTTAAAAAAAACTCGATTTAAAACCCCAAATTAACCACAATAAAAAAAAGCAAATTAAAAATTGAAATCTGATTTAATTTACCAAACATATACAACACTCGCCTAGAAGTAATGAAAATATCTGGCTGTAACAAAAGTTTTCCACCAAAAAACGTTCTTAATAAAGTTAGCGAAAAAAACTTGGAAGCAGCATCTTTAGTGCAGGTTCACCACCCAATTCCAATGATTTTCCTTAATCTTAAACTATCAACATTTTGATAGTTTTTCAAAGCCTTCGTCCCAGAAACTTGCTGAACGTAAGTCCAAAAATAGATCAACCTCAATCAACCTCATTTCAGATATGCTGTGCAGGCACCAGCAATATGTAGCTGCAGATGTGAAAAAGGTCGCACTTGTCCGAAGGAGTGATGTCGAGGCCACATGGTGAGTGTGGCAAAAGATTCCATTTGAATTCATACAGAATCCAGCTGGTGAATGCAGAGACGTGTGGTCTGTATTACATTCATGGAATATTACCTTTTTGTATAGGAACTCAGTTCGACATTTTTCCTTGATGGCAGCATCAACACAGAATAGCATTTCAGCGTACACCTTACTGTCAAGAGTTTTACCTTTTTCTGAGTACTCTTTGGATAATACCAGATACAAAATATGATCTTTTTGTTAGTCAATTGCGCTTTGCGACGCTGCCAGCGGGCTCACTAGGTGCAGACCAACCCCCTTTTTGGCCTATATTTTTTAAGTAAATCCATTTTTCATCACAAGTGATGATCCGGTTTAGAAATTTGTGCTTGCGTTGATATTCGAGCAGATTAGTGCAGGCCTGAACATGTCTGTCCTTATCTGCTTGAGTAAGGTATGTCAAGTTTACGAGATGCATATCATGACTAATAGATAGGCACTAACATCTAACTACTTAGCAAGCTCTTGAGTGGTTACATACTTGATCTTCTTCCATAAATTCTCACAGGCGTACCTCATCAACATCAGTAGGTCGGCCAGAGCACCTCTGCTTCTTGAATATCATAGTCCTTGTTTTAGAACTTTCAGTACAAAACCTTCACAGTGTCATATGATACAACATTAGTGTTCAAAGTTGTACACATGGTTTGGTGACATTCTTTAGCTGACTTTTTGCAACAGAACTGGAAGTAAGTGAAAGTGTTAATCTGGTAGTGTGATAGTTCCATTTCAGACACCTTGTATTTAATGGTATTGATATTTTTTACAAATTTCACAATACAGTATTCTAAAGCAAGTCTCTTTTTTCAAATGCCAAAAATTGTTTGCCAAAATATGATTAAACACTCCAACATGAACTGTTTGCGCAGATGATGTTGTTTGTGGTGTGGGAAACTACTGTTAAAACCTGATACATTAATTATAGTGCAAGTGGTATATTAGTTGGTTCAATAATATATTAGTGCCAAGTAGTATATTAGATGGCAAGAGAAATGGCTCAATATCTTGTGCAAAATTTACATATCGTATAACATGTAATGCTAAGAAGTAATAAAATAAATCATTTTGTTATAGTTTATTATAGTCATTTTGTTACAGTCTCAAAATATACAAAAAGGGGGAAAAAACATTTTCGAGTTGACATAAAAAAAAGATACTTAAAGCATGTTACAAGTTAAGCATATGATAAAATAAAAAATGCTCTTCCAGTAATACATTCAAATTTTTTAAATTTTTTGTTAAATGTTATTTTTTAAATTTTTCCCCCCTTTTCGCATGTTTTGAGACTGTAACAAAATGACTATAATAAACTATGATGATATAAAAATAAAATAAACTATGATATGATATAAAAATGATTTATTTTATTACTTCTTAGCATTACATGTTATATGATATGTAAATTTTGCACAAGATATTGAGCCATTTCTCTTGCCATCTAATATACTACAGTCAAAAGTCGTTAATCCGGACTCGTCGGGACTTCGGCGATTCCGGATTATCGATTTTTCCGCATTATAGATCATCAGTTTAAATCTGGTAAGATGGCATGCAGAAATTATAAAATTAAAAATATGAAACCGTAATTTATGAAATAAAAAACAATTATGATCTAAAGGGTATCAAAACTTACAAAAAGAAAAAGCTTAATATTTATTTGTTTACTTTATTAAACATTTCTTTCAATGTAAGTTGTTTAAGTTGCTTCGTTTTTTATGTGATAATACATTCTCTTTAATTCTTTAAACAGACATAATTTCTTGTTCAGTTACAAAGTTCCACTGTTCAAGTCCTATAATTGCTGTGTGGAGAATACTGACTAATTTGTCAATAGAAATTTTTTCGTTTTCAATAACCTCTGTCACTTTCTTCGCTATCGGAAGCGAATTATAATGACGAGGAATTCGATTTAAATCATATCAAGATGGAGTACATCGAGATGAAATACTACATTTAGTAAGGAATTATAAGCCAAATAAAATAACAACATCTGCCCTGAAGATAAGGATAGTGCTGAGAGATCAACTTCCAATTCATTGCGCGGCGTTAAAGATAAAGTTTAGATAAACAAACGTTAAAGTTTAGATAAACAAAGGATATGCCTTTATCCATTTTTCGTAGCAATTCCACTTTTTGTTTAATGAACTTCGAAACATACTTTCGCTTTGTAGATCATTTACATATTAATAAATATATATCAGAAATTCTATTTGACATAATCGAAAGTTCAAGCTTACTTTTATAATATTGCTCTAACAGTCTGCAAAAAATAATAAGCCGTATCCAATTCGAAGATTAAGGAACAACGCAATCTTCAACATTAACTGCAATAGATAATTAAATAATTTTAGCCTAGCTTATACCGTCCATTATACATTAAACGCGCACTCGTAAACGTATTTTGTGCAAGTGCACAAGCATATTCTCAGCGGTAAAGGCGTTACGCGCATGCGTACAAGGGACGCATGCGCAGGAAGTTTGAAGCTTTGAGGTCCGGATTATGGGTGTCCGAATTAACGACTTTTGACTGTACTTGCCACGAATATATTATTGGGCCAGCTAATATACTATTTGAAAATTCTAAGAGAAAAGACTGACAGAAAAAGATAAATTTCTAAAATTTTTCCTGTTTTTGGTAACTGCACAAAGAGAAAAACTACATTTAACCTGAGAGTTCTCCAAACAGCACTGTACAGTTTCTTTAAACAAGGAATTATAATTAATGAAGAACAAATAAAAAATGAAAATATTTCAAGGAATTTGAAAAACAAAAATTGCAAGACGATGAAACTGCTTTTCTAGAATGGTTTCAAGCCATAAAACTAAAAACTGTTTCTGCTTCTAGAGCTTTTTGCACTATACCGTGCAAAGTCCGAGATCCGGAGTCGTCGGTACTTTGGCGATTCCGGATTTGTGATTTTTCTGGATATTAGATCATCAGTTTAAATCTAGTATGATGGCATACAGAAATTACAAAATTAAAAATGTGAAATCTTGATTTATGAAATAATGAGCAGTTATGATCTAAAGAGTACCAAAATTTACCAAAAAAAAAATATTAGCGTTTATTTGTTTAATTTATTAAACATTTCTTTCAATCTAATAAGTTGTTTCGCTTTTTGTGCTAATACTTTCTCTTTAATTCTATAAATAGACATAATTTCTTGTTCAGTTACAAAGTTCCACTGTTCAAGTCCTGTAATAGCTGTGTCGAAAATTCCAACTAACTTGTCAACCGAAATTTTTTCATTTTTCAATAACCTCTCTGTCACTTTCTTCACTATCAGTAGCAGTATTTTCTGGATCTAGAATTATACAACAGGTTTCGCCGTCTGTTAATTGAGTGATGATTGGGGATTGTCATCGCAATGAAAAACTTTGGCTCTAGTGTAGAATTGGGTGCCCCTTCGATTAGCGACAATTTTTTGTAAAATTTTGGCGATGAAATCTCATTTCTGGATACCATGATAGTTTAACTTTGCTTTAGCCTCCTGATTTTTTTTTAAATAAAAATAGATTGATGTGAACATGGTCAAATTTAAAGCAGTGCGAAATGCCTAGTTTGTGCAATTCTGGGATGTTTTTTAAGTGAAAAGATGAATGGAACAGACTATGAGTGGCTGCTTGCTATTGCTTTGACTTTTGTATTTTTTGTTTTTGGTTTGTGTAGCGGCCATCTTGAAATTGTGTCTTCCTTCCGCCGATCTTTGCGTCAAAAAAGAATCGCCAAAAAACAAGGGGAACCCAATTGTAAACTTTTACCAAAACTTCTGTTATATCATCTTCATTTATTACCACTGTCAGGAGTTCAATCTTACACATTTCTTTACAAAATCCATTAACTGGAAAATTTCACCTTCGGTTTGCGATATCCGGGAAAGGGATTTTAAAAATACTACTTAATATTTGCATTTCAGAGCGCACACTCTTCAGGCATCTATAGACTGAATGAGGGACATATAATTTGAAAGAAAGAATAATACGAATACTTTATCTTTTACTAAAACTTTATGTGAAATATGAGCTGAACAGTTGTCTACAATCAGGACAATTTTTGCGTTATCAGGTAAACAAACCGAATTCAAATGTTGCCGAGCCTCGGGTATAAAATGATTTTCAAACCTATCATTCATTAACAAATAATAGCAATTCTAAGATTCCTCCTATTACTCTCAAGGAAGACAAACTGAGTTGGAATGAAATTAGGATAATTTTCCACCAGAATAAAATTAACTTTTAGGCAGAAAAAATACCCACGGGTATTAAAGTCGTGACTCAATCCCCAAACGATTGCAGAACAATAGTTCAAATTCTCAAAGATAAACAAGTAGAACATCACTTTTATATCCTCCCTGAGGATAGATATTTAAAAGTTTGTCCTTCGGGGACTTACTGAAATTATCCCGATCGAGGATATTAAATCAGAATTAGAGCAGCTTAACTACCAGATTAAAGAAATAAAACAGATGACCAGACGACGCAGAGGTGAAGTCACTAAACTTCCATTGTTTTTAATCTCCCTCCCAAAAAATGAAAAGTCAAAGGAAATTTACAATGAACGTTACTTATTTGATATGAAAATCAAATTAAGGAGTATCTCAGCAGACAAGGACCCCTACAATGTTTCCGTTGTCAGGAGTTCAATCATACCCAAGCAGGGTGCAATTATGCCCCAAAATGCGTCAGATGTGGAAAAGAGCCCTGACTGAAATAACAACGATAAGACATTATTCTGTCTGAACTGTGGGGGTTCTCACACTTCCAGTTTTAGGGGGGTGAGAAATTTCCCAAAAGAAAGCTAGACAAAACTATTGAGAATAAGTCATATTCACAGGCTCTTTCCACAGGCTGATCTGATATTCTGATATTCTGAGCGAAGCCAAACAGGTCTTCACCCCGGAACTCGTTTCCGTTATCCAAAATGCTGTTTTTCAGATATCTCAGCAGGTCAAACAAATTAAAGAGACAAATCAAGAATTGAAATCTTCATCCACTACTGATAATGGGACAATTTAGACCAACCAGCGCTCCCATTACTATTATGACATGGAATGCAAAAAGGCATTCATTGTTATATATGTAACTGTAACTGTATCTATTATCTTTAATCATACCTGTAATATAGAATAGTAGATGAGTAATGTAGAATAAACGATGTTTGTGTACATCTTGTAATCATCACTGAGCACGTACCTAAACATATAAAATACAACACATGGCGCAGCCCGTGGATGATTAAAAAAGAAAATCTTTTTTGAAGAACCATGCAGCGTGGGGTAAAGATATTCTAAACAAAAACATGATGGGAAGTTGTTTACAGTGAAATCGAAACTTATATCGCTGGTAAGTGAGTTGTTTATTTTTATTGGAAGTGGCTAAAAATACGTATATATAAACTATTAAGTCCTAAATTAAATATGGATTAATTAAAGCCACCAAGTAATCTAAGTTTCGAAGGAAATTTAAGCGAAAATTGGAAGAAATGGAAACAAAAATTCCAAATTTATATGTTAGCGTCTGGTGGTATTACTAAATCACCTGAAATTAAAGTAGCTATTTTATTGC